GGCGAGCTAAGAAAATGCTTATCTCCCTGAGCTTGGCCTTCATAATTCCATTCCATCACAGGGAAGCTATGATCCTTTAGGGTTTTCGGACCCGTATCTCATAGCATTCCTTGCTACAGGCCACACTGGGGCTTTTCAGAGATCAGTAACATCTTGGAAGCTTTGGATTCCCAACCTGTGATGTGCCAATCCTCAGAGCTTCCTTCACGTAGATTCCTCCAGACCTTAGAACAAGGCCTGGGAGGGGCCCCTGTCCTTACAGTATTGTGGAATAATTTAAGGGCAGCAATTGGTGGATCCTCCTAGCTTCACTGCCCTCCACACCCAGTGTCACCAGCTAGTGGGAAAAAAAACACTGCCAACTGCTCTCCTTGAAGTGTGATGGGGCAAGCTTGGGCAAGGGTGGGCAGTGGCCTGGGACAGAGGCTTTGGCCCCTTAAGTTGACCTAACGGCAGGTTGTCAGTGTGGAAGTGCTCTGTCCTGGTCACCTGTCATGCAGGCTGTTTTTGAACACAGGTTAACAGCCTGGCTGACAGATCAGTGGGGTGGAGGACAGTCCCAGAACAAAGCAGGAAGGAGCTTCCTCCATGTGCCGGGCAACCTCCCTCCCACTTCACTCCACTATCTTCTGTCCCATCAGCCTGTCCATAAGTATTCCATGGAATGCACAAAATGGTGCCGAAATATGCAAAATGGCATCATCTTCCCCAGGTAATAAAAATAGGAGGACAAGTGGGTATACAGTACAAACTCTGTTGGCAGAAACAGCACAAAATTTGTAAGGCCCTCATTTGGGACAGAACCAGCAACCCATAGCTGGCAGAACACGGCTATCTTTCCTAATTTAAATCAACCTTTCATATGAAGAGTGCTAGTCCTGTTTTTGAAACACAGGTCTACTGTTTTTTTAAAAAAAGACTGCTAAAGAGATGTTAAAAACAAGTCTAAAAGTCTTCCAAGAACAATCAACCTGTGAAAGGCGAATGGGCTTTGTGTCATACAGGTAGACCTCAACTTATGACCACAGTAGGGACTGGAAAATTTGTTGTTAAGTGGTGTAATCGTTAAGTGAGACATCACATGACTGGACTTGCGACCTTCCCTGCCGGCTTCCCCATTGACTTTGGTTGTCGGAAGTCAGCTGGGAAGGTCACAAATGGAGATCATATGACTGCAGGATGCTGCAACTGTCATAAATGCAAGGACCGGTCATAAGTCACTTTTTTCAATGCCTCTTAATTTTGAATGGTCACTAAACAAATGGTTGTTAGTCAAGGACTACCTGTAGAATGTTTATATGCAAGGCTTGTGTCGGGAGCAGAAGTAAAATACTACTTTAAAACCAGAATAGCTGAAGATGAATGTAAGTTGCCTCTGCAGTGGGCTGGGGATGAGATGAAGGTTGTCATGAAGAATATAGTTAGCAGGACATGTGTTTAAAAACATGGCCTATAAAAGGTTTAGGTCAAGATACCTAAGAAAAAAATGACCCCACTTTTTCATTTATAGAATTTTAAGCTAAGGAGAGACTAAACAAAATCTTGGATGACTAACAGCTGATCCTCAGTGAAGTTAACTTTGTCTACCTACTTTATCTGATGCACAGGCAAAATGGCCTTGAAGTTTTGCAGGCAAAACTTCACATGGCAGAATGTTTTCTGTACAAAGCTCCGTCATGCAACTTGTACCGCAATAAACTCTTTAACAACTCTCACAACTATTTTCATCAGGTTTATAGGAGCAGTTCTCCCTTTTATGTACCTTGACTACTGATTTCTAAGCATCAGCTACAATGCAAACATACACAGAAAGAAGAAAACTCTGGCTAAAACCGTGTTGCTGGTCATAACAGGATGATTACGATCATGTTTTTATTATAAATACTTGTAAGCTACCTAGAGCCCAACCAGATTAAGGCGGTGTATAAACTTCATATACAAGGAAGTTGCTTTAAAAAAGTCACTTGCTTGTGGCTGCTTTTCCACATCACTGCACAAGCCTTCTCAACCTGTTGCAATTCCCAGAGTTTCCAATTTTGAGTTAGGACAAACTTATGAACTTCAAACTCACATCCAAGGATCTGCCCCATTTCATATTAAAAAGTGACCTTTGGTGAAATAAAGAAATCTATTGTGGGGGAGACAATATCTTGTGACTACTCACTGGTAATTCTTGTGCTCTGTCTAAATACACAACCAAGATGGCTGCTGAGGGAGGATCTGGCTTTGAGGAGATAGTTTTGTTCCACTGAAGAACCTTCAAACAGCACACAATAAATAAATCAGCATTAGCTAACATTTTTACACAATACCTAGCTACTATCCTATAGAATATCTCCCATCTCTTCAAAGGGACCAGACTGTGGTTCCCAACATAGTCTTAATGAGAGACGATTTTGACAAACCATTCTTCATTTTAACTTTCTTCTAAACTTCTGCTCATCTGATTCCAGTTTAGAGCATGATTCTGAGATTATTCCCCCCAACTCCCCAGTTAGCTTCCCCTCATGTCTTCCAAGCCACGGAATCCTGTTTGCCTTGTGGGAATAAAAATATATGCCAAGAGTTTGGATTTGCAATTCTTGGTCCAAGTTTCATCCAGAATCTATATCTAGTTCTCATAGTATATATGTTTCTCTAAGGAAAGTTTCCTCTAAAAAAATTAATTAAAAGTGAAAGTTTTTAGACTCACCAACCCTTGGCTTCTCCAAGTAAAAAGGTACTCAAATAACTAGATAGGAAAAACACTTCTGACCAAGACTGTTTGGTACTCTGCCCATCAAGGTAAGCAATACTTGGCATACTCTTCTTGTTTTCATGAACAGGAGTGACTCAAGATGTAGCCACCTCCAGAGACACCCCTAAACAGCATTTGCTTCTACCCTAAGTGTTTGCACTCACCTGATCCAACTTGGAATCATCTGACATGAGCGTATGCCACTCCAGACGTAAATGCACACGAGCCTGGCCTCCATCTTGTAAAGGGAACCACTGTCAGGAAGGCAAACAAGAAGGAAATTAGAAGCTCTCTATGAATAGGAAAGCCCTTAACACTTACTGACAGTAATTTGTTCCTCTAACTCAGGGATGCATAGCTTCTTTGGAGGTGAACGCCAAACTCTGACTTTTGAGTGATGTAGTGGGGCTTATATTCAGTTGATCCCCACTACAAGACAAAGACAAAAAACTAATTTTGCTTCAAACGAAATCAGTTCAGTTAATTAGAATATACCCCCTTTTGTTAGGAATTTTCTCCTATTAAAATTACAATTTGGTAGCAACATTTGAAGAGGCTTTTGTGGCTGTTTGTAGTTCTGGAGCCTGAAGCTGTACATCCCTGCTTTAATAAAATATGCAAGTTACTCCACAAATCATGGCTTCTATGACACTTTTAAAACCTCTCTGCCATCCTATTCTGTCCCCCCGCTGCTCTCAAGAGCCTTTATCATCACCCTTGTCTTCATTTAGCTGAAGATTCTCTATTCATTACTGTACCCTTGCAGCCAGTTGAAGCACCCTATTGTCCAGCTCCAGGTATGAATCAGCCATCTTCCCCCCTCAGCACTCACCTCCTCTAACACACGAGCCCTGAACACCTCCCCAAAGTCCAGCTTCATCCTGAGAAAAGAAAGAAGATGGTGATAATTGCATATCCACTAATCCTAGGATTTTAAGGAATAGCACCAAGATGTTCAGATCAAGTGCTCCTCATTTAGGCAGACCTCATATATCCAACTTCTTGAGCTGGGGTTGAAGCTGCTGATCCTTAGACTGGGCTTGTAACTACCTCTGCTTTTTTCAGTACTATCCCAATCATCTCCGTGTGGGAAAAAAAAATCCAGCAGTTAAGCTCCAGCTTCCAACCCACCATTACTCATTCAACTAGGCCTCAGTTCCCTGCTAGACTTGGAAACAGAACCCAGTTTCTCACCTGCCCAAGAAGTCATCCTGATCGGGGTCTTTGTCAAACAGCTCCACTTCCAGTTCCTGCCCTGGTACCTCGTGTACAATAAACTGCGGGGACAGTGAGGTGGGGAGTCAGAGCAGACACCACTTACTGTGTAAGCCAGAGGGGCCTTCTTCCAACAGAAAAAGGAAAGCAATGACAGCTGTATTGCATGAAGTGGAAAAGCTAAGACAAGAAGGGAGATTAGAAAAGAGCCCTAGCATCTCACTAAACACTTACATTTAAACTACCATCTCAGCTGGCAGATAGTTACCTCATACATCTCATTCCACTTGGGATTGAGGTCTTCATCAATGACTTTGCTGGTGAAGACCTGCGTTCCCACACGCACAATGGCATATGGGTCTGACTTGCCCTCAATCATCCCTTTGATGTACTTATCCTTGGACTGCAGGTTCTTAGCTTCCATTAGATATACACGGACAATGCCCTGGAAGGGAGAAAGTAGATCAGGTCCACAACTCTTAACTCACCAAGTAATAACGTTCATCTCACCAGAAAGTTTGCCTTACCCTGGGAATTGGGGAACGGAGCTGAGCTGCTTCATGGAGATCAGGGATCAATGGGATGAGCAAGCGGTTAGGGAGAACCAAGAAAGAGGCAATGGAGTCCATGATCACTGTGTCAGACAGGGAGCTGTTGAGGAAAACACATTCCACTGGTCACACTACTTCTTGATAATTTCCTGCTAATCATGTTATCTCAGCAAGCTACCCTTTGCAAACATGAGTTCCTCTAATATCCCTCAAATGACTTTCTGCTTCTCACAATGTTCAACAAGCTCAATGTTCTTCCTCTTCAAGCTTTTCCTTCAGTCTGTAAAATCTTCCTACCTTGCTACCCTTGGCTCTCTTACACATTTAGCTCCACAATGGCCTGCAAACCTGGGCTGACAGAAGGTGCCTTACCAAGCAGTTTTGGCCCACACACCTGTAGTTCTTTCCAGAACAATAACATTCATTTCCTCCTTGCACTTCTCTTATAACCTTCTAGAAATTTAAGACCAGCACAAATTTACCTCAGTCCAGGGATGTCCAACAGATTGGTCATTCCAGTCCAATTAATATCCAGAGTCTGGGAAAAAAGAAATGTGCAATGTAGGAGTTAGAATTAATTATAGATCTACTGGAGGAGATGGTTGACAATGGTGAAATAGTCAAGACTCAAGAAGATATTGCAGAGATCTCCTCATAAACACTGTGCCAGATTATTTGGGAGATTCTCTAATGATAGAATTTAATAAAATACATACGACTTTCCAGTATTAGTTTAAACAGGAGGGTCTACTACTTGTAAATCCAAGGCTTCTACAAAAGGCTTTATTTATGCACGAGCATTGCTTGACCCACAATACTTGAATTACTGGCATTTGAATGTATGCAATCAGACTCCATTAAAAAGCATCAGATTTTTTTAACACTCAAAGTATTTTTTTGTGTAGTTAATTTTATGACTGCATTCTTACAGATCAGTCATTGTTTGATACACCTGCATTTGGACACAGCCCTATATATCCTCCAGAGAATAGAGACTGGCTTAGACATCAGAGACTAGCCCTAAAAAGATGTTAGAAATCATCCAGTTCCTACAGAGACTTATTTCATAGGAGGAAGATTCTGTTACAAAAATGCAAATTATAGGAGGATCAGTAACAAAATTCTTAATTTGTTCAGCACTGTGCTTGAATTCCAAGATGACCTTGACCTCTTACATTTTCTGCCCTCCCCTTAGCTATTGTTCCTAGGAACCTAGAAGGAGGGAGGGCGTCATTTAGCTAAGCTAGGAGAACTATAGAAATCAGGGTTACAGATTTAATTTAGGACCTCTCCTGATTTGAGCGCTGGCCTTGAGTTTCTAAATGATAACTGCACAAAGTAGCCAAGGAATTTCTCTAATGAACAACTTCTCTCTCAACATACAAGATTGTAAAAACTAAACTCTTCTAGAATTGCTCCGTCAGCAATCATCTTGCTAAACTAGAGAACAAGGCACTTATCTCAAAATCATTTATATGCAAATTAATAGTCTCTATTTGAATCCAGTTTAACTCTGGGAGACCCCCATGGACACACCAATGTTATTTTTCTGGCAACAAAACAGAAGTTGCTTGCTACTGTTTCTGTCCAAGTTTTTTAAAAAAAAATCAATTTAGCTTAGCTGAGATTTCCTAACAGTCCTATTTAAGTACTAATCGGGTGGTCCAACCTTGCTTAGCTTCTTCTAGATCAATCAAGGTCGGCCAGGTGCTACTATCTGCTGTAACATACACAGATCTCTTAAGCCATACAGTGGTACCTCTACTTACGAACTTAATCCGTTCCGTGACTCTGATCGCCA